CGTCATCATCAACCCTTCCCCTGTGCTGGTCACCCTGCCAGGACCCATCATGACCTCCTTCCCCCAGAGCACCGCCGTCGGATCCACCTCCTCCGCTGCTCTGGGCACTGAGCTCAGTGCCCAGGGACAGCCCATCTCTGGTGGATTTGGCTTTGGCAATGGCCTGGCAGGCCTGGGCTGCTATGGCAGGAGGGGCTATGGCTCCATCTGCTAAGGGCCCTCAGCACCACCCCTGACACCAACCACCCACTCCCTGGAACTCATCTCAGGCATTGAGGACACACCTCTGGGACAAGATTCTCAAATGCGTTCAGCACTTCCACCTCCTGCTCTCAGAGCACCAAACAAGGCAGTAGCCTCGGGGCCAGCCCGGTCTGCCTGCAGACATGGCCCATCTGCCTTCTGCTCTTTTCCCACTCCCTGCTCTGCATGGCCCCTTTGTCTCTGTCCAGACCCCTCTGGACAAACCCTTTCTCCCAAGCCAGAGACCATCGGGCACCTCTGCGGGCTATTCCCAGTGCAGGGCAGGAAGGCCTCGATGCTCTGGCCAAACCTTGCCAAAGGAAAGGACCTTGGTTGATGGTCGCCCTACTTGCCCCTCAAACCAGCTCCCTTCCACTGGCTGCTCCTGAATTTTCACTCTTCAACCTCAATAAAGATTTCTTGCATCACTACCTCCGATGACTCCTTCTTTCTTCTCCCAAGCTTCTTCCAGTCTCACTCAGCAGTAAGCCAGGCTTGTAGTGGCCACTGGGGTGAGTGAAAAAGTGCGCCAAGATCACTCTTGGGTATTAATTCTGCAGTTCCACTACTCACTGCAACACTTTGCTCTTCCAGTGCATTATCACAGGAACCCTTCAGCTATTGGAACACAAACCTGGACACACCAGTGCAGGTTGATCCCTCCCTCTGGCACTAGCCTCTCATGGGTGGTGTGTGCCATTTTTCTTGGCACGAGTTGCTCCTGTCTGTCATTGTGTTTCAGGGTGATCTCCAGCTCTGTCTGAGCAGGTCCATGTCTTCCTTGTTTCCAGCTCCCAGGGATGAACACACATCTCCAGTCTCACCAAAGTGGGGCAGATGAGCAGAATCCCCCCTCACCTGCTGCCAGCAGTGCACATGTGCAGGACAAGAGGTCAAGGGCAAAGGGAAAACAGATGGAATTCCATGTGCAAAGAAGTCAAGTATTTCTCATTTTGAGCATGGTCATAGAGTGGAAAAGGTGTTGGACTGTTGGCTTGCAGCAGAGGGGATTGGACAGAGATGCAGGGGTAGTGCAGAGCAGGGAGGGGGGAAGAGGAGGAAGAAGATGGGACATGCTTGCAGGCAGCCTGGGCTGGCCCCTGGGCTGGTGCCTTTCACCATGGCCTGAGAGCAGGAGCTGGAAGTGCTGAGTTAATTTGAGAGCCTTGGCCCAGAGACAAAACATAGTAGAAGCACTTGCACTCCAGATTTCCTGCCCAGATGAGGGATTTTGGGACTTTTATTGTTGGAGGGGTTCAAGCATCGTGGTGGGGAAGAGAGTTTGCCAAGTGTGTTCTGACAGGGAATGACTTGATCAGAGTGGTACCCAGGAGAGCATGGCTGTGTCCAAGGCTTTGGTCTATCAGGTGATGGGTTTGTGTCATGCTCTGGAAGGAGTCCTCTCCTGGGTTTCCTATGCCAGATGTTTTTATTAGTTGTTTTGGCATATTTGTGAGGGAAGGTGTTGTTGCACATAGCCCAAGGGCCGGTAGAGGTGTGGAATGTGCTTGGTAAGGATGAGAAACCACTGGAATGACAGAAGAACAGGAGGCGTATCAGGCTTTGATGCAGGACAACTTTATTGAGGCACAAGAATGAAGAGACAGGAGAAAAGAGAAGATGGGATCTGGTGTGAGGTGCAAGTAGGGCAACCACCAGCAAATGTGCTTTTCTTGCAGGAGCTGTAGCCAGAGGCCAGAGCTGGTGGTGTCCGAAGTGGTGCCGAGATCCCTTAGTAGATGTAGCCATAGCCTCTTCTGCCATAGCAGCCCAGGCCGTAGCCATAGCCCTGCCCGTAGCCAAAATCACAGCCATAGCCAAATCCACGGCCATAGCCAAGGCCGTAGCCAAGGCCAAAGCCAAATCCCCCAGAGATGGGCTGTCCCTGGGCACTGAGTTCAGTGCCCAGAGCAGCGGAGGAGGTGGATCCGACGGCGGTGCTCTGGGGGAAGGAGGTCATGATGGGTCCTGGCAGGGTGACCATCACAGGAGAAGGCTGGATAACATTCATGGCTTATTGTTGGGCAGGATTTCACTGTCAGATGCGTGTCAGGGAGGAATGAAGAAACAACCAGAGCCCTGGAGATTTGCCATGTCATGAATGATGTCACTTTGTGGCCCTTGGCTGCTGTGGTTTGTGGGTGCCTTGTGAAGGCTGGGACTCTGTTTTGTGCTGCTGCATGTGCTTCAGTCATTGTGTTGCACCCAGGAATGCTGAGGAAGCTGCTGATGTCCTGGGGAGGTCACTGTGGAACAGCTTGGCAAGACCCCACTGCCTGGGAGCTGTTCTTGATGGAAGACATAGAGCTCTTGGTCTTGTGTCTTGAACGGGCTCACAAGACCTGGTAAAAGAGAGGCTGTTCAGGCTGAACCTGTTTTTATGGACCACTTGGATTCCTCAAATTTTAATTTGAACACACTGCTACATGTTAAGTGTATTCCGTGACCTCATTCACAAATTCAATAACAAACAAAAAATGGGTCCAATCGCTTTGTTCCCAGATTGCTCTGTGGCCTCAATTCCCTTATTCCGCATTCAGACCACCGGGTTTCATAATGATTTATATGCTGTAAATGACAATATTGTGTTCCTGTAAGCAAAACCCAGTAATTGCTACCTGATGGTGAGCGTGCTCTGCTTTCCCTCTCTGTCATGATGTGGGTGTGCCTTTATGGAATTCCACAATTCCATGTCCTTCTCTTGAGGCCCTGTCCTTCCGACCTTGAGGGCAGCTTTTAAGTGTGAGTTATTGGTATGTGAGGGTTGGTGGCATTTGGGAGGGTTTGCTCTCCAGGTGAGTCTCAGGGAGGGCTGAATAAACAAGCAAAATTTTGGGGAGGTGCGGTTGTCCTTGGCAAGGTCACCCTGTGGCACGGGTGTGCTGTGGTTTGTGGGTGTGTTGTGAAGAGGAGCCCCATTCCCTCCCAGCCCTCTCAGGCTGCTCAGGGATTTGCAGCTCTGCTGGAGGTGTTGCCCATTCCGCCAAATTTAATCCCTCCCCTAACTGATCCCACCTGCCTAAGCCTGAGTCTAGACCTCACCTTTGCTGTTGACTGTGCTCTGTGGGTGTCTTGGTGCCCCTCTTGCCTTTAAGGTTTTGGTATCCAGGGCTGTTGGCGTCTTTGCTGGAGCTGAGTGCAAAGGGGTGAGGCCACTTGTGATTGTCAGAAAGAAGATTTGGAGGTTGCTCAGGGTTGTTGGAAGATGGCATTGCCTGATTCTCTACAACCAGGGAAGTCTGTGTTGTATCACTGCCCAGAGAATGATTCTGAAGGACTAGACACTGAGGGCTATCCCAAATCCCGACGGCTGCAAGTCCACAGTGCTGTGGTCCAGGAGTTGGATCCTTTTGGCCAACACTGAAAACCTGAGTGGTCCTGGACATCCGTTGTATCTCAGCAAGGACATCAAGCAAGGGCTGTTTCTTGGCAGGAACGAAGATGTCATCCCTGGTAGGAAGGAATGTGTGGGTATCAGTTGGATCAGGTGTTTTCCAAAAAGCCTTTATGATTGTGGGTAAGAAGAAATGTAGTCGGAAGTGTCCCTGTGCCCTTATGGGAAAAGGGATCCCAAGGTTTCTGTAATGAGATGGAAAAGTGTTGGGATGAGGCAGTGAGAGGTGGCTGTTGGTGTTTGCTCAGCACTGGTGAGGTCCCGTGTGTGGTGCTGTGGGCAGCTCTGGGCTCCCCAGGGACACGAGCCCAGGGTCACCCAGATACAAATGGGCCTGAAAGATGATCCCAAGATGAGAAACAGAGAGCGGCAGGACTCCCAGGTAACGAGGATGGACAGGGGTGTGTCATCTGTGTTTGCAAATCACTGATCATGGGGGATGACAACAAGGGAGCCCAGCTGCTCTCAGCAGTGCCCACATGCCGGGCAAGAGAGCAAGGGCACAAGTGAAAAGAAATGGAATTCCATGGGCAAAGAAGACAAGAGTGTTTCATTATGAGGATGATCAGAGATTGGGAGAGGTGGTGGAGTCACTGTCTCGGGAGATCCAAATCTGACCTGTCCATGGTGCTGGAAATGGTCTCCTGTTGGTCTTGCTTGAGCAGGGCAGTTGAAGCACTTGCGCTCCACAGCTCCAGCCCAAGAGGTGGATGTTGTTTCTGTCTTTGCTGGAAGGCATCAAGTGTCCTGGTCAGGACGAGAGTTTGTCAAGTGTGCATTGTCATGGTGTGACTTTTCCATTTTTGTGCCAAGGAGAGAATTGATGTGTCAAAGACTTTGGTGGAGCAGTTTGCAAGGTCTGTGACATGTTCTGGAATGTTTCCCCTCCTGTGTTTCCTGTGCCTTGCTAGGTTTTTTGTTGTTTTGTACGTGTAAGAAAAAGTGTTGCTGCCCTGTTCCATGTACCCTCAAGGGCCTGTTAGGCTCTAGAATGTGGTGGGTGAGGATGTGAGACCATTGGAAAAAAAAGAAAGGAGGCATTCGAGGTTTGATGCAGCAAAACTTTATTGGTGCAAAAGATTGAAAAGCCAAGAGAAAGAAGGGGAAATAATCTGTTTGAGGTGCGAGTAGGGCTGCCATCACCAGAAGTGCTTTGCTTGCAGGAGTTGTTGCCAAAACCCCGAGGCAAGGGGTGAAGTGTCAGCAGGGTGAGGGAATGTGGAGGCTGTTGTGGGGCTATGGGGAGGTGTGAGGGCTGCTGAGGCTCAGGCTGAGCATGCTGGCAGAGTGGGTTCAGGGGTGCATGAACAGGAGGGTCAGGGTCTTGAGGCTCACCTGGTTGTCTTCGGGAGCAGGAGAAGAAGGCGTCAGGAGAAGTGTGTGAGGGAGAGAGGCTCTGGACCGGCTTTTATGCTGGTTGTGGATGGGTGGGACAGCCTTGTCCCATAGCCTTGGGGCATTTTTTAGGCAGCAGTTCTTGCCTGGCCCAGCCTAGCATGAGATCATGAGGTGGGGCATTTTTTCATTCATGTTTTTCTGCAATTCCATGTCACACTCTTGAGAATGTGTCCAACTGA